CCAGTAGCCTATAATAGCATTGGGTCTTATATTTAACTGGCAATGTCAGAAATTATTGACCTGAGTCCCCCACAGCTCAACTTAACAGCATGGCTGGCCCAATATTTTAATACTACGTGCAATGGTTAAGGAAAACCAGCAAGAGTACATAATGAATGTGACGCTGTGCTTATAAAGAACATAATCCACTTACATTGCTGCTCGTTGTCCCTGGAAGAGCCTGCTGTAGTCTTCTTTTAACCCAGACACATAATGTACTGCTTCAGCCCATACTTTACGTAGCTGAACAATTGGAAGCTGTATTTTGCTGTCTTGTACTACAGGCAAGAAAATGAGTAAAAGGAGAAATGAGTTACTTTTAAAGGCTTTCTAGTTCATTTACTACATTCTGTGATTTCCTGTCCACCCAAATAACGAATGTTAAAAGGAACTTATTTATTACCATTTATTTAGGCACAATCTACCACTGACTGAATCACTACAATGCACAAGCCATACTACAAGTACAAAGTGACATAAAAGCGAATGATAGAATCACTACCTTCACAGAGCTTCCACATCTTTTTCTTCTTGCTTCTTTCAGATCTGGAATATGTTTTTCTTTCTATTAATCCAAATTCTATACTTCTTTCAACTTCCAAATCATTCCTATCTCTTCCTCAATCTATCAGTCTTTCTTTTTCTAATTAATAGATAATCATCCTCTAGACCACTAACTCAGCTTCAACAAAGCATACAGGATAAATTACAATTTAATAACATATCCCAGATTTTACAAAATTAACTATTTATTATTGTATCTTTCTTCCCATTGGTTTTTTTTTTTTTGGTACCAGAGATCGAACTCAGACCTTAAGATTGTCAAGCGGGCACTTATGCCACTGAGCTATTTCCCTGGCCCTTCCTTCCCATTCTTGATGGGAACATGTACAAAAGGGACAGGAATCAATGGAAAGAGCTCCCTAAAGGTCAGAGATTGAACAATTTGAACAAAAAAGTAAGTGGGGATTATGATCCAAAGAACAAAGTAAATATCTATGAATTCAAATTAATATAAATGACTGAATAAATTAATAAGTGAGAGAAATGAGACAAATCATCCATGCAAAAAATTTCAAATAAATTATAGATACTCTCATCATGAAGAAGGTGAACATAATTCCTCACTCATTACTTGTGGTTTTTACATACACAGTATATATAGTATATATATTTCCTTCCAA